GGAAACATGCCGTTATAGAGGACAACTGTGGTCGGTGATAAACAAACACGCAAAAAAAGAACTTACTTTCTCCGTGGAATCACGTAAAGATTCACGCAGATGAATCAACTCTTGGTTAAGGGAATTGCACCAATCAGTATAGCGCTCTAATTGACTGCGCAGCTGGGAAATCGACTCTGTGTCCGATATGCAATCTTCACTAGATGTTCGTGTAAACGCATCGCCTCGATTGTACGGCTTTTGCCGGGAACTGTTTCGTGTACGAGGGGTGCTTGTCACAGATTGATCGTCCGTCATAAATGCTTGCGCGTGGGACGAACTCAATTGAGCACGGGCGATCGAGGCCTCTTTACGTACCCGGGCCAGTTCCGAACGAAGATCTTCCCGGAGCCGGTTACCTTCATCGATGACATTTTTGTAGTGTTGCACTGTGTCCTGTCAAAATGCCGGAGGTGAACAAGTCACAGTTTAATTGGGCAAGATTTTTTTTGACGTCCTGGTACAATGATGAATGGTGAAACAATGAAGTGCAAACGCAGTAACTCTAACTTGATGATGTGTGATGATAGGATTCAAAGCTTTTATTAGCAAATCACATAAGGATAGAACTCTTATTAGGCCGAATGACAAAAATATATCACCAAACCGTCGCCATATATAAGATGCAATTATATTCTGATAATAATAATTATTATTCCCGAAATACACTTGAAAAAAGAATACAACACTGCAAACGAACCACCAAACCGATCACCGAACTTCTTTTCGGATTGTTTACACAAACTCGAATGGACGGCTGCTAAGATTTACGGAGGCCAAACAAGCTCCGAAAGTCCCTAGTGTCAGTAAAAGGAGGTCTAACTCAGTCCGGCATTACCCCGAGCAACCACCTAAGAGGAAGAGTGAATTAATACCATGTTAGGTTATCAACACTCGCGGTATATAAACTACGTTGTATTCTGCAGTAAGCATCAACTGAGATGTAGCGAAATGAGTCCGGAATGAAATCGTGCTCGCTTGCGGTGTTGTGTTATATGCTTTTTGCTCAAACGGAAAACACTCTCCAGTGTATCTTTATTTGACAAAATAAAAATCGAAGCGTAAATAGGCAAATGAATAGCACACCTATCCTTGAATACTGGAATTGCTCAACTATTCCTTCCATGTCCTGGGACGTAGGTTATTATACCTTTCCCATCATATACTAATAATGGGTAAAATTTGAGGAGGACTCGCATGAAGATGATGGAGATCATGCTGCGGAAACTTGCAATCTTATAATCCACCGTGCCATGGAGTCCCTTGCTCTGATCAACCCGGGAAGTTCAGCAAGTTTAGAGTTTAGTATTAACCAATAAGTGGAACATACACTCATTCAAAGAAACCATCACAACGGCATCACGTTCCCTATTCAGCCTCCCAAGGCCTCAGTATGGTTGGGGGTGGGTGTCTAGGGTTGCGGCTGGTCACCCTGCCCTTGCACCTCACGAAATGCCCCCATACGACCAAGCGTCTCAAATAGCCTCTGCTGAGGAAGCCCTACTCACTGCCTTCTCGCGGC